GGGGGGGACGGTGCTGGTGGCTGTGCATAGCGTGCCGGGGCCGGCAGGGGGGCGGTGGCGTGTACGGAGGGGACACTATAGTCACGGGGCGCATTGGATAGAAAAATAGTTTAGGGCCAAATCTGCAGATTCCACTTTGGCTGAATGGCCTCCTCCTGTTCCTGTGTGACAGGCTCGAGGAGAGGGGGCTGAATGGCCTCCTCCTGTTCCTGTGGGACAGGCTGGAGGAGGGGGGCTGAATGGCCTCCTCCTGTTCCTGTGGGACAGGCTGGAGGAGGGGGTGCTGAATGGCCTCCTCCTGTTCCCGTGTGACAGACTCGAGGAGGGGGTACTGAATGGCCTCCTCCTGTTCCCGTGTGACAGGCTCGAGGAGAGGGGGCTGAATGGCTTCCTCCTGTTCCTGTGGGACAGGCTGGAGGAGGGGATGTTTTTTGTTGAGTGGACTCAACGTGGACATCCATATGTTGCCTTCACATAGCGCCTACATCAGAGTCAGAATCAGACTCTGGACCAGAATATCATCAAATAAAATCTGTCTTCGTGACAAGCAACTAAGTATTGCCTCAAAGGATTTGTATTGAAGAAGCATCTTAAAGGAGGAGAGAGAGGCAGCGAGAAAGGCAGAGAACAGGAGCGGTTCAGGGATAGGGTTCCAAAACTCAGGACCCCATGGAGCTGAAGACATGGCCCCCAGCGGCAGAGCCATGGAAATCGAATGGGACACTTCAGAGACCGGGGCTGGAGGAGAATGCAGAGATCATGGAAGGTTGTAGGAGGGGACAGAGATAGGGAGGGGGTGTAGGGGGTTGGAGGAGGTGACGGAGATAGGGAGGGGGTGTAAGGGCTGAAGGAGGTGATGGAGATAGGGAGGGGGTGTAGGGGCTGAAGGAGGTGACGGCGATTGGGAGGAGGTGTAGGGTGCTGGAGGGGGTGACAGAGATAGGGACGGGGTGTAGGGGGATGGAGGGGGTGACGGAGATAGGGAGGAGGTGTAGGGAGCCAGAGGAGGTGTAGGGAGCTGGAGGAGGTGACAGAGATAGGGAGGGTGTGTTGGGGGATGGAGCTGGTGACGGAGATAGCGTGGGGTCGTAGGAGGATGGAGGAGGTGACAGAGATGGGGAGGGGGTGTAGGGGGCTGGGGGAGGTGACAGAGATGGGGAGGGAGTGTCGGGGGCTGGAGGAGGTGACAGAGATGGGGAGGGGGTGTAGGGGGATGGAGGGGGTGACGGAGATAGGGAGGGG